CTTCTCTATAGCAGAGAGTCCAGACCCTCGTATGAAGCAAAGTGAAGGACAGGGTCTGGTTTTTACCAGGATAGAAACACCCTGATGCTGAAGGACGGTGGATAAATATAAACACAAACAGAATCAGGACCTGTAGGTGTGACCTCAGAGCTGGAAGAGTTTAAATATTTATATTCAGACCTCCAGACACCCAGACCTCCAGGTCTACAGACCCCCAGACCTCCAGACCTCCAGGTCTACAGACCTCCAGACCTCCAGACCTCCAGGTCTACAGACCTCCAGACACCCAGACCTCCAGGTCTACAGACCTCCAGGTCTACAGACATCCAGACATCCAGACCTCCAGGTCTACAGACCTCCAGACCTCCAGGTCTACAGACCTCCAGACCTCCAGGTCTACAGACCTCCAGACCTCCAGACCTCCAGGTCTACAGACCTCCAGACACCCAGACCTCCAGGTCTACAGACCTCCAGGTCTACAGACATCCAGACATCCAGACCTCCAGGTCTACAGACCTCCAGACCTCCAGGTCTACAGACCTCCAGACCTCCAGGTCTACAGACCTCCAGACCTCCAGACCTCCAGGTCTACAGACCTCCAGACACCCAGACCTCCAGGTCTACAGACCTCCAGGTCTACAGACATCCAGACATCCAGACCTCCAGGTCTACAGACCTCCAGACCTCCAGGTCTACAGACCTCCAGACACCCAGACCTCCAGGTCTACAGACCACCAGGTCTACAAACCTCCAGACACCCAGACCTCCAGGTCTACAGACCTCCAGACATCCAGACCTCCAGGTCTACAGACCTCCAGACACCCAGACCTCCAGGTCTACAGACCACCAGGTCTACAAACCTCCAGACACCCAGACCTCCAGGTCTACAGACCTCCAGACATCCAGACCTCCAGGTCTACAGACCTCCAGACATCCAGAATTCCAGGTCTACAGACATCCAGACATCCAGACCTCCAGCTGGTCCAGTCTCATCTACAGACCTCCAGCTGGTCCAGTCTCAATCTACAGACCTCCAGCTGGTCCAGTCTCAATCTACAGACCTCCAGCTGGTCCAGTCTCAATCTACAGACCTCCAGTTGGTCCAGTCTCCATCTACAGACCTCCAGCTGGTTCAGTCTCATCTACAGACCTCCAGCTGGTCCAGTCTCATCTACAGACCTCCAGTTGGTCCAGGCTCCATCTACAGACCTCCAGCTGGTCCAGTCTCATCTACAGACCTCAGGCTGGTCCAGTCTCATCTACAGACCTCCAGCTGGTCCAGTCTCATCTACAGACCTCCAGCTGGTCCAGTCTCATCTACAGACCTCCAGCTGGTCCAGTCTCATCTACAGACCTCCAGCTGGTCCA